TATATTTTTTTTGGAATAATTTTTTATATTTAATGCAAAAATTTGAATACACGTAAGTGATCTTCTGTGACCGTGTACGAAGTGACGACACTGTAGCCCACACATTACCATTTTCATTGAAATTATCATTGTCGTAATTAATTGCAACAGAATCGCTAACGTCAGCGATCGTGCGGATCGCTGATCAGAGTCGTGCATTAATGTTCTCGGGTGTGCCTCCCGCGCCCACACTCGGCCTTGAGCAGAGAATCTTGATTAAGAGAGCGAGCGAGTGAGAGAAAACTGTGTGCGTTGTCAGTAGGGAAAAAAGAGAGAGTGAGAGAGAGAGAGAGAGGAAATGAGGGGGGAAACGTGCGAAAGAAAAGGAGGATGCAGATGTCAAGGATCCTAAAGGCGGAATACTGATTGTACGTGCGTGCGTATAATGTGATTTAAGGCAAAGGAATCGAAAAATTTCTCGAAGCTTATATTTAGTACTCACACTTACGAAAATAGATAAAAATTATCCAGATAACATGCACATATCTGTAGATGAACTTGTACGCGGAAACAAGCAAAAGCAAATGTGTTAATTTCGGACCAAATGTTTATTTTACTTCTTTATGTAAGACATATTTTATGTTATTTTATTTTAATATTATTTTTTTAAATTTTATTTCACGATACTTGGTATTATTGAATTATTTTATTTCAGCTGTATCAGTTAATTTTTTTGCGGAAACTATATACGTTATTAACTTGATATCTTTTGTTTATTTATGTGTGCAAAATCAGATGTTGGTATTCTTATTTATATAGCAAAGAATTATTATGTATGTTTTATATATATTTGTTTTAAAGGAAGAATCTGCTCGAAATTACTCGTAGAATTCGTAGTTTAAACGTATTTTATAACAGAGATGCCCTATATAAGATTCAATAATTTAAATTGAGAGAAAGAGAGGGAGAATGAGTGAGAGATTATTGTATACATTAATTTACGAGAATTACACGAATTCAAAGAGACATCAAAAATCCACCACTACTGTCTTGAGTAAATCGAAACATTCGAATGATCTTTGGTCATATTTTGACGTCTTATACAGAAAATTCTCGATATGGTACGCTTCCAAAATGTTCTTTTTATGGCACCGTCTATCCAGGCTCGACTGGATACACCGAGGGTTGTCCTCCTTTCTCTGACCATGACCCACCCCGGTAGCCCCCGGCTAGATAGTAGCTCTCAGCCCCGTTTCAATGCTCTCCCCCGCGTTCGTAACTCTACCCTGACATGCGCAACGCGTTCTCACCATAGAACATGTGTGCGTGTGTGCACGTACAAGGATGCCTTATATTCACTCGCTAATTTTGCGCGCAGTATGTAACAGGTGGATGACGTCAGATAGATTAGGTATCCCTATCAGGCGCTGTTGACAAGTTTTTTTTTTTTTTATTTTACCAAGAATTATGCATTTTCTTTAATTGGAAATCGAACTGAAGAAAAAATGTATCCAAACATTTATTCAAAGTATTAAAAAGAAGCTCATAAAAATGTACACATAAATTGCGTTTTAAATTTTATAGAATATCTAAATAATTTAAAATCTAAACAAAATTGTTATATAAAAGAGAAGAGTACAAGTTTGCGAAAATGCAGTGTTTGTAAATTTTAACGCTACACATTGAAAATTGTACATAATTATTTAACTCTCTATTTATCTCTCTAACCCAGGTGTTAGACATGAATTAAGTGACCCTTTAAATTCTCTCACAGTATCCTATATTGCATTAATATTAATTAACTCTATTATTATCAGTCTATTTATATCGAGCGGAATTTAGAGAAACAGACGGCAAATCGTTACTTTAATTAATTAAATCGACGAGAATCGGAGTGTCCATGTTCTACTATGAGATAAATAAGTATGAGAATGAGTACAAATATACACACGGACACACACATACACGAGGAAGAGAGTTTATTCAGGCACGAAGCATACCGCGGTGTAGGATGCGCGTTGACAGTGAAAGTTCCAAAGACGGATCCACTCCAGCTTCAGTAAACCGCTGCTTCTGATGCCGCTAGCTCTCCCTTGTGTCTGCCCATTCTACTCGTTCTCTCTCGAGCGATTCGTATGATCCGCCTGGCTTCAGTCGAAGGTGAACCGTCAGTGTTGCGACTTTGACGCTCGTGTGCCCATTATAGTTTCCAATTCCGTCAACATTATTGCGTCAATGAATCTCGAATGATCGATATTTTGCGGGTGATAGTGCGTGTATGTATAGGCGAGTAATTACAAAATTGTGCGCGCCTCACAGTGTAATCCTGCGCGCATTTGCATTATCAAAGGTCTCGCGTAATAATAATTTCCGAATAAAAACTAATTAAGAAAATTTTTATGCGGCTAATCCTCAAAGAAGATAATGTATAACAAAATAATATAATCAATTTCAAATAGATTTTCAGCAAAATTTTAATTTGGTAAAAACATAGTTATAAGA